TGTATAACAGAAGAGCAATTGATGCAATCAATAAGACGTTGAATATGTGCTCGTTCAGCTTTATTCAGCATAGAATAATCCATCTTGCTCTCAGAAAAAAGTGCCTAAAGCGCGATATCTACTGGTGGCATTCCAACGAAGGAGTAATTAAGCCTGTCCAATATCAGCTTGTAACGCCGAAAACCGTGATCGGTGGATATGATTATAAGCTATCACATGAGCATTGTGGCGTTGATAACGATCGTGGCAGTAATAAATGCTCTCCTATTGTTCCAATTAATATTGTGCTCCACAGAACGTAAAGCAAATAATTTGGATTTTGCAAAGAGCTAAAAAGCTTTGTGATGTTGGTCTGCGCATTATTAAAAGACGCGTAAGAGTTATCAATAAGGGGACAATGATATATTCTTGGCGCTTTGAAATGGAAGGAATGTTGAGGTATTTCATCTATAGTATTATAAGGCGTATGAGAACCTTTATTAAATAAGTAGAAACTGGTTTGTTCGTTTATATATATATTTTAGAGTTACCTTAAACGACTCGTCCTTTTCTAAAATCTCTTCATCGACTTCGCAGCGTTTGACGACAAATATTCTCGCTGCTTCGAAAAGTTCTTATTCGACTTCCTTATTGTCAATTTGTGCACTTAGCCAGGCAGACGACTTCTTGTACGCAATCGCCCATTTATCTCTGTGGTTGACCATGGCATATCGGAAGTGCCAGAGAAGAATTGCCGCACTGATCGAGTTTGGCAACTTTGGAGTAGGATGAGAAGTGGGTCTGCAATTCCTTCTGTTGACTCGAATCCGAGAGATCCAGCAAGATGAGTGTCGAGCTTGTATGAACCTGTTTCACCAAAGAGAAAAAATCGGGAATCGTTCTTTTATTCGTTATCATCCTCCAGTGAAATGTAGAATTGGCCTTCGCATCCTCCAATCGCACTGTTCGCGTTGTTGCGTGAATTATGCTGATGTTGACGGACTGATTTCGTAATAGTGATCCTTGAGCATGAAATGTCCTTCAGACGGTAGTCAGAACAAGAGCAAACGCGCTTTATTAGGAATTGGGGAGGCGTTCCTGGAGATGAGGCCGCTGTAGGTCGCAGCGATATATTAACGTTCCAATATTCTCTTTGCGTGAGAGTGTGTGTGCCATAGCATTGCTGTATGGCAGCATTTGCGTTTGTCGTGTGGCAGCGACTGTGTCGTTGTGGGTGCAATTGCACTGTCGTTGTGGGTGCAATTGTACTGTCGTTGTGGGTGCAATTGCGTTGTTGTATGTGGTGGCGTATAGCATTGTCGTTAGCAGCGGCTATGTCGTAGTCTGGGCCGGAAGAATATTAACTCGATATTAATATGCTGCGGACTATGTTAAATGTTGTAAACAGAAGTTAGTCAGTATCTGATGATATTATTAGTGGCCACCAACAAACCAGCAAGAAGTAGTAAAAGCTCATACTTGCTAACTCTGGTTCCTTTCCAATATCGTTATTCTTATGACATCCCTCCGCTTCTATTTATTACACCACCAAAGTGTTGGCATGACAGACTTCTTTCACCGTAATAACTGACAAAATTAAAAGTACCAACCACCATCTCCTTCAATTCCACGTTAACGTGCCGAAGCACTGACGGCCCTAGGATCGGTAATGATTCAGGAACAACTCGCATTGAAGCGGAAGAAAAAGTTTTTAATGCCGACGGATTCCATTATCATTGGGTAATAAACGGCACGTGAATGAAAATTAGACCTAATACTAATACTAATTAATACTAATAACACTGTAAATACTGTACACTTACTACAGAATGGCTCAGATATACATCATCCTTCCTACACTTTCCAGTGCGGACATACGACCGAAGTAGGGAACGTTCTATGTATTCGACAACGAAAATTTTGTTCCAACGCTTTTAGATTAAAGCGTTATGACAAACTACTGGTGTCGCGTTACTGACGGGAACTACCAACAATAGCGTAATTATCTGGTATTCGCTAGAGAACTTAGTTGCTCATAAAGGCATTCGTGTGTGCATGATCAACCCCACCGATAATACTTAATAAGCGGTACCATTTTGCATTGGATTATACTGTAGATGTTGATCAAACGAATATCTTTGTAACGCAAGCTCGACACGTAAGTATCAATCAACGTTGTGTTACTAGTTTATATTTATAGTCTGAAAACCAATTTATCGATAGCTGGTAGAATTATCGACAGCTAGTTTGGTGTCAACCTCTTTGCACCGACTAATCTACTTGTAATTAATAGTTATAAATCATCTCTATCTCGCAAACTATTTGTTAGTATGTTACCTACATATCGATCTGGTATTGTTTGCGGTTGTCATAATTTACTGAATTGTCTTTCAATACATGTAGAATGATGCCTCAGTCTATACCTTGGATAGCTTGGATATATTGATAGAATTAAGGTAAAGCATTCATTTCGATCAACCTCTTAAATATAGTATTGTTTCTTGCATTTCCCTTGTCTTTAACTATCAAACCTCTCATTCAATATTGTGTGATGATGGTTAATGGAACAATACGAAATCTTCTTCCACCTCACCCCTCTTAATTTAACTTCCTAAAATCTTCAATTGATACGTAACCATTATTCCCACACGTCGTACTTACCGAGCGGGTGCGCGCCAGCAAATTGTACGTGTTTGACAAAATTCTTGTTTTTATTTGAATTACTGAAACCGATATTCTGATATATAATTGTATTATCCATCTACACTATCATACGGCCAAGATAGTACGCGCCAGAAAATTGTCCATGAGATATTAACATTTATGGGCTTTAAACAATATAACGGAAACAATAAGGCTTAGGAGATCAATACCAAGGAGTATGAATGAGGGATGAGACAGGCACCATTCATCATCTTCCTCGCCAAAATGAGTGCATTGCAGTTTTGGTTTATTCTAATATCAACCTCACTGTAAAGATTCACTTCCGCGGCGTTTATGGAATTGGGAGCCACACATCTTTCGCGCCACCGAACTTGTGAGTTTGCCGTGCCCACGCTCAACTTGCACGGTAATGCGCATAGACAGAATCAAAATTATTAAGCTAAACATGAACAGTACATAGATTCTATAAATTCGACTAACTTTGCCATTCACTAATTAGTGCGTACTGTCAAATTTTATCGATGCGATGAAACTTCTTCTAGGCCTGGTGCAGTGTTACACCAGCTGAGCGGAGTGGTAACAGCATACCATAAACTCGACTTTGATAATGAACCAAGTAAAGCCCATTCTGTAGTCCATCAGAGTGCTAATTAAACGCTTTATTTATATTTCTTTTCATTATCATGTAAGTGTACAGTATTATATTGAGACATGATTAACTCTATATTTAATATCATTTTACCAAACAGGCTTCTTATAATAATAATTAATTAATTATAGTCATTGATCACTTGGCGTTCCAAAAAAAAAAAAAATTCAATTCACGCGCCCGTCAGCAAAACTTTTAAGTCCGTGATAAAAAAATTTTATTATCCCATCTTGGGCCGTAACGGTTATAAGGTCAACCAGGCCTTCGTTAAACCGGAAGTTACCTAATACGTGGGAAAGTATATGTGATGAGGTTTAGCTGTCAACGAATGTCACCTGGTTGAAGGACCCTAAATGATCATATTTGACAATTAACACACGCTAATTCATTATAAAGTTTAATAAGGTGATAAATGTATTGACACATTGCCAATTTGATTTGAGGATTGAACTCTCCAAAAATTATACCATCTTTGTATTACAACGGAAGTCAATCTTTGCGGCCCGGTTGATCAATTAATTAATCATTATTCCCTTGATGTTTGTTCAAAATTTTCTATTACAAGAAGATTATGTAAATTCTGATGATAATCTTTTTTAGTTGATGATGAATTAGATAATGACTGTGAAATAGACAATAATTTTTCTTTAGAGGATGGTGTTGAATTTGACTAATTAACTTTTAATAAAATTGATATCAAAATGGTTCCTCTTGACTGAAGAATTGATTTATCTAATCAGAATTAAAAACATTATTGCACCGGACTATATTATTGTTAGGACCCATTCGGGGTTTTTGCTTTTAAATCAAACTTCGATAATAATTTGTACTTGAATTGAACGTCGTGCCTCAATATGCAAATGAACGAGCGTAGATTACTCTCTTGATTCTACCGATGGCAAATAAATATATAATTTACGCTCTAGTACTAGCTGATTCAAGACTTACATTAATTATTGATGAACCAATCGGAATATAGAATTGATTCTCATCTTGATGATGTTATAAAAATTACGCATAGATGGTATATAGTTGAGTTACGTAGTAATGGCTGATTAAATAATTGGAACGACATTTATTGCAAATTAAGTGTTAAATACATAAACAATAAAATTATATAAAATCTGAAAAATTGAGCGAATTAACGCATGCAAAACCAGAATTATCTGCGTTTTCCGCATCAATTGCTTCTTTATCAATTGTATAAAGCCAGAGATCCATATACCCTGGAAGTTCATCGGAGCGCACCATTGCGTCATCCGGATTTATATCTGGAGAACCATTTAAGCCATCTCCAAACGCTTCGAGGGAAGAACCGACGGAGCTATCTTGAAAATGTGAAATAATCCCAGTCAGTAAAAAATAGAATAACTTGTGTATTCTGTAAATTTTAAATTGCACTTACTTGGTTGTTTTCTAGTTATGTATATTTTTTTCATAATTCTGGACAACGAATAAAAATAAATTTTAACGTTGTCAGGTTCGGCGTACCACTTTTTAGTGGCTTCGGCAGAAATTTCCTTTAATGGTTTCTTTTGCCCCTTGACAGATGCCGAAAAGTTCCTTCGGTATAGCAGGAACTGATTTGGTACTTGCCGTATCTCAGTCTGTTTAGATGACGGCTTTAGTAGCCGATCGATTGGCAAGTGTAGGGTGATGGGCGGGTTTGCTAACAGCTGTCTTTCTCGTTCGTTCAAATTCACATCGGAAAAGACACAGGGCGACATGGCAGTTTTTGAACAAACTCGGAATGTGGGTCGGCTTGCCATTATCAGTTGTTAGATGTAAGCTTGGTTTATTGAGAGTTAACTGTTGATGAAAGAGGGTAAAAAGGAGAAGCGCGAGTTTATATAAATCTTCGATTTGAATATACTTGGGTAGTTCAACGTGTTAATGTTACTAAAACAATCGCTACTATTATTTTATTGGTGCGTAATTGTTATTGTTCAAACTAATGAGTACGCCTACTGAACTCTCGATATATTAATTAATTGACAATCAATAGATGTAACCTATTATTCATTGGACGAAAAAGGACGCAAGGCGGAAAAACAGATTGCCAAGTCGGCAGTCTTGAGTTAAACTCTTATTAACGACTGAGCATGTATAAAACGTTGATAGTTGCAACACTTTCATAAATAATGGCATTGTAATCTGAATGTTGTTTGTTACAACCAACAGACAACAAAGCTTTTATTAGCATATCGGAAGTCGGAACAAATCTTAATATTATTATAGTTGGCTTGTGAATAAGGGGGGAGTTACACTAAATTTAATGTTTGTTGACATTCCCTGATCTGCGGTCACACGGCTCGATCACCGTGAGATTTTGGTGTCATGATTATTAACTAATAGTTCGACGTTGACTTTATAATAAATTCGACAAAGACGAATAATATGTCAGGTTCAACAGATGTACCTGGTAAACGTAGCGGACGAGAAATGCCGCTCATATATAAAATATCTAATACCCGTTGTATATTATATCATAAATATTATCTCGATAGTTTCAGCCTTAACATTAATATTTCTCTTTCCACCAATTGAATTTTCATCAAGAGTATTCTGACAAGCAAGAATCAGTAACTAGATGTCTGCAAAAAATAAGAGCGATATCTACAGTATCCTCCAACGTGAGCACGCGTCACTGGCACAGAGGTGTTACTGTAATATTGAACACCAGCGCTACATTTGTGTTGTATTAGTGTTTTTAGATCACCATGACTTTGAATACACTTCTCAGGCTAGCGGCTTTTGTAGATTTTCGAAATAAGAGTTGTTTGCTTTCCCAATGATAAATCGTATCGTGAATTGGGACCTGTCTCAGTTCGGAACCCAGACACTCAGTCCAGAACTGAGACAGGTCCCCAACTGAAATAATTCGACCAAGTTGACTTTTCATAGAATCCCAAACTCTGCCCTTCTCTGAAGGAAAATCCTCATGATAAGACGTTCTAGTTCCATTAGGTCAAACGTAAAAATTGGGTTGCATTGTCTAATAAACATATACAATTATAGAATTCATCAGTCATTGGAAATTGATATTCCTTGTAACTCACCAGCCTGAACATCCTCAAACCTCCTACAACACTTAATGACATTGCCGTCTCCGTCATTAATCACTGACTAACCTGTATGCAATACCATGGATATTTCTTGATCCAACAAGCGCTTCATCGAATCGTTTAAATTACTGTCAACAATGATGTAATGGATTTACATTTGACTGATTGAATGTGTTATCCAAAACTTGGACTAATACAGTGTTGTTGTTATATATTCCGATTTTCTTCCTTCTCTGAGAATATCACCGTTGATAAATAGATATTCTTCCAACAGAGAGGACGACGAGAATGCTATGACAATAGAAAGGCCTTC